TAGTCGAACTTTTAAATTTTTTATACAAGAATTCATATATAAGAGTTCAACTAACAATATTTAATTAACGCTAAAATTTAAGCAGTGTTTCAAAATTTAACTTTACCGCCTTCTTTTTTAATTTAATAACACAACTACTGAATTCTCAAAAAAATATTACAATCTATTTTATTAGATAAAACTTTCAGTCTACCTACTGCATTCTTCTTTAGATTCCTCTCTATCACTTGCGTAATAACTTTATTACATCTCATTACTTTTTAATAAAAAAAATAAATTTAAAAAAACTAAAAAAATTGTAAAAAAATATGTCGGACAAAACAGATTTCAAGTTAAAGAACAATATCTTTTGACATTTGCAATCTGCCGCAACAGCTGTTTCACTATATTCTCGCGAGAAGACTGGGTTTATGTGTAAATACCAAACGACAGACTCATCGACAAAAACGTTCTTTTACAGAAAGGAAAGTGCACATGACGAATGTACCGCTCGTAAGAATCGAAAATCGAAGGCGCCAAGACAACCGGGTGTTCTCGCCATTGTCACGAGAGTGCATGCGGAATAAATTATCGTCGTTACATCTTTGCTGTTGCTGAGCTCGATACTTTCTACGTCGAATTTTTTACGTTATCGCAGCACGACAAAAAAGGAAACTTAACTGTAAAACTGAAATATATGCAGAATGTCTCATAAAAAGACATATATAGCAATACTCAACAATATTTAAAAAAATTCTTTATTTTTTTCTGTGAAAATCGAAAAAGTTTAATATTAAAAGCTAACAACACCCAAAATAAAACTTTCAATTAAATCTTATAAAGCAAAGAAATAGAATTTTACATTACATTAAGAAAAATATTTAGTTTAAAATTTAATTAATATAAAAAATATTATATATCAAATATTTAATAAATAGAATTTCAAATTTTATACAAGAAGCAAAAGATTTTGTTCATTAAGCGAAAATTTAGAATGTTATTACACATAAGTTTTCTCATTAAACTTGTGCATACATTTATGATTGACAGTTTCTATTTTTTTTTTACAAATTTTAATTTCTTATAACGTTTTTTAAATATTTAAATATGGCAATGAGATTATCACTTTTATTTTTGCGTTTTCATCTGTCACGAGATGCAACATTACCGCGATGTTTTGCACGAGAGCGTAAGAATTTTTAAAAACTTCTGGATAGCGCATGACTATTGGATTGAAAGATCGATGAACGGTAAAGGGTATCATGTAAGGTTTAATTTTTCAATCTCTATTCTCGAATAGCAGCTATAACCTTTCATCAGATTTCTTCACTGTATCTCACTTCTCCGGAACACTCGCCGATAAGAAACGGACCCACAACCCCTTCGCGCGTCGAGTACACTACCCTTTCCCGTTCGTGCCTATTTTCTCTCACATCACTTTTACGTCCACGATTTGTGATACACTGCTACTTACCATGGCTAGATCGCTGCGCTGATCACCGATGAAGATGACCAAAACAAAACGGACACTTCAAAACAGACACATACCTCACTCGGGAGAGCGCGAGCGTCCCGGGAGGTGACTTCTTCGTTTGCGGACGACCAAGAGCATTTATAGGATTTACCTGATTGGCTGGTGGGGAGGACAGAACGATCGGTCCATGATGATTATTGCCAAGTATGAGATGTTCGCGAGAGGATGCTGTAATTCTTCTACTTCCACGCACATACACAGGTGGGGGTTGGACGGGAAAGGTAGAGGGAGAGAAAGAGCCGGAGAAAGAGAGAGAGAGAGAGAGAGAGAGAGAGAAAGTGAGAGGGAGCATCCCATGAGAAGGACGGAATGATTCGCGATATTCCAAAGGTCTGATAGAACGAACGATGGATGCTGAATGGCAATAGCCGAAGGACTCCGTATTCGTCCCTGATCCAAGAACGTGTCGGCGAACGTCCGGAGATGATTTTGAGAGACTCAAGAGTGTGTGATCAAAAAAAGAAATGCCGTTATCACCGATTATTGGTACATATGCATTTCTCGTAGGCATTAAAAAAAAAATACAAATTGGTGGCAGCAAGTGATGGTAATGTTTATTACCAAAACGAGCTCCGCGATGTCCTTATTCTGATAGAAGACGCAAAACAGTCGTGTATGTAAAAAAGTGTATGCAAGTTTGATGTTAATAACACTAAATTTTATCAAGTTTGATATTAATAACAATAATTTGATGTTAGTAACAATAAATGTTAATAAATTTTGATCAACATTTTGTTTATCGACAAATAGTAGATGTTTCTTGTAGGGGTTTTTATCTTGAAAAAGGAAATGCTTTTTAAAAATTCTATCATATTCTCTTGAATTTTTAAAAACTCTGCTTTGAATTACTTATGCAAGTTGTAAATATGTAATATATAGCTATAATTTGAATATCTTTTGCAATATATGAAAATAAATATGATTGTATATAAAGCCTCTTTATGTGCAATTTTAAGTGATATATTAAAATAATAACATTTATTGACAATATTTAAATTTATAATCGGTGTAATTAATTTTACAATCTGATTATCACAATAGTAATAGTAATCACAAATGTAATGTGTGACATAATATTATATTTAAGTACTTTTCTTACACACTTGATTGAAAGATTCACTAAAATTTGTTGTCTAGAACGTTACTAATACGAATCCCTATTATTAAATAAATAAAAATAATGAATGAAAATAAATCAAATTGTACTTGATCGAACGTCATTGAACTACATAATCGGTTACAACATTTTCATCTCTCCTTTCTCTGTATCCTTCTCTACAAACAGACAAGGACGCTGAAACTTCCGCACCGTGATCCGTCAAAATAGAGTTAACGTACGTATATTTTCTAAATGTCAACGGGATCAAGTCTCGTTATGTATATCTGCTTTGCTATATAATATTAAACGGTGGAATGGTTGTATGGGCAATAATTACATGCCACAGCTAACGCGACGATAAACTTCACGGTTTCATTATGCAATATGCTTTTTTGCATGTTTTTGAGGTCTAAGAGTGTAATTCAAAGTGGCGATAAATACTGCCATGACAGTAAGTGATGGGTGGATGGTCTGGAAAGATTGTAATATATTTTGCTATCGTAAATGTCTACCGTGCGTATGTCTGTCAAAAACCGATTTCTATTGATTCTGGCTGATAACGTAATGTAGGAGCCGATGCATAAATCCGATCAAATTTAATTGTAAAGCGAGGGTTTACATTTCAGTAGACCGTATTTACAGTTTGTGGATTTTGATATTGTTGACATTTTAATATTGCGCAAGAGTATTATAGATATGCGCGTGATGTAAGACTAATCAATTTACGACCGTCGACGAAAGCTGTCGGTAAAATTTTGATATTCAATGCTAATTTCTCTCATCGTAAAGGCATTTCTCATCGTAAAATCCCATTAAGACTGTAACTGCTTTTAGTTATGGCTTAAAAATTATTTGATATTAGATAGTTTTATTAATTTGCAATTTTATGGAATTTAACTTGTCGCTAGTTAGTGATATCAATTCTTTTATACGATTGATACACATCACTTAAGTTGTATGCTTGGAGGGTTTTAATATTGTCTTAAAAATCAAGTAATGTAGATATAATAATCTGAATTTTTTGTTTGGTGTTCTACATATGCTTACCTAATTTTTGTTATGTTTTGAATTGAGCGAGAGATGCATCCTTTGGCCATCTCTTTTCTCTGATATTACTCTCTTGGATTTCTTCTTCTGGTATATTAAGGTCTTAATTTTTTCTATTAAGGAGAAAATGTAAATGCCTTATGCAACCGAATGACTGCCATTGACACCATAAACTAACGATATGCTGCATTGTACTTATTGTTAGTATGAAATATTGGCTCGACATCTTTCGTATCACTAAAGATATTTATGTGAAATTTTAATAAAAAACCGTTTTAGTTGTCTTTACTTAATAAAAAGGTTAAAATATGTATATATGTTTATTTTTTTACTTTTAATTATCTTAAATTTAAAATACCAAAAGTTCATATTACTCCTTTTCTTTCTCAAATATTTCTATTTTTATTTTACATCTATTTTTCAATTTCTGTAATAAAATAACTACGTACATAAGAAATACGTTAATGTGTGTAGTTTCCTAATATATTTTGTAATAAAATTTTGTAAAAACTTTCATACAATTTAATTCATTTATATTCATTAACATAATTTTTTCAACATTATTGACATAATTTTATTTAACCTTATATCTTTGATAAATCACGGGTGGCATGCATCTGAATGCAAGATACACGTTTCACGCGAAGACGACTTTTCATTTATGCGAGGAAAAAGTGGCTAAAAAAGCCAACGGACTTTTCATTGCGCAAGGAAGAGACGCATTAATGTTTCTTCTCGAGTCATGTAAACTCGTCATCAGGCTAGAGATGCTTAGACACAATGATGCTCGAACGATCATCAGCGGGTCATCGCAAACATTACGCGAGCTTGCATTTACGCGTGGCGATGCACCAGCTACCGTGAGGTCCAATAAAAGTTTAGTGCCAGTGGCGCAAGTACTTAGAATAAGTGCCTGAGTTATTTATTTGCTAACGGGAATAGTACTCGTATAGAGAAATCTTCAATCTGTACGCTCTTTGCATTTGTTTCAAGGTAATAGTCACTTGCGATATCAGAAAATTATAAATGATTCGGTTAAACAATTTATTTTTGCAAAGAATAATTAGTTCAAAATATAATAAATAGTTTTTTTTTTAGATTATACTAAGACTCTTCTATTATATATTGTACATATATATTTATATATATATATATTATGTAGATATATTATATAAATGGACCATTTGAAATGCGTTCACTCAAATTTTTGTGTATATAATATTATAGATTAATTATTACTAATCACTTACAATTAATAATAATGTACTATACCTATTGTATATAGCGGTAAATGTATTGTACAATTGACAAAAAAGTCTTCCAAGTTGTTTAATTTTTGCAAAATGTTATATTCCTAATTACGTAAGGATGCAATTATCTTGGTGATGGAGATGGTATGTCTCTCAACTCTGTTAGTTCTTTTTTTCTTTAACTTATAACGATTTGCAGCGTCGGCAAATCGTTAATAAAAAACAGATAAACATCCGGCGTGTCACGCCACCAGATTTATCATCGGGATAGTCTTCGTAAAAAGCTTGTTTTTTCCAATTCTGTATTAAATAAAATATGCTTATAGAGCAAATTATCATAGACATAATCATGAAGCAAAATATTATGAAAGTAATTATTTATTGATTCTTGTAAATTTTCTTATTTTTACTATTACACTTTATAAATCTTTGATTACAACAAATACATCATACATTTTTGCTCGTTTGCAGCATTGTCTTTATTGAAACTTCATTATTATTCGAAAGATTAATTTTATTGCATTTGAAATATAAATCACGTTAGATACAAATAAGTGGTTATAAAAATTAATGAATTTTTAATGTAGATGAGCTAAATATGATCGCGTATAAAAAAGATTGCATCCTCCACTCGGCGGCGTGAGAAATTTCTCTGATCGCGAGTTAACTCGCCACGCGCGATGATTTCAGAGGCGTGGGTGTTGATAGTCGTGGGAAAAAGATTTCCATCTATAAATTTTCCCGAATCAAAATTGCGAATCGAAATTCGTTAAAATAATTATAATTAAATATATAAAATAAAAATTAAAAAAAATTTATTTACGTCTAAATTTTACAGATCGTGCATTTTTCTTCTTAATTCTTACTATATTCGACGTTTTAGTATGTAATCACACAAAGATTAAAATTATGTCGGTGTAATCTTACATTGCCGCTGCTAGTCATTTAAAGCTGATTCTCGTCAGGGCTAATTGAAATGTTCTTCCTGATCGATGCTCTTACATCCGCACTTTTGTATGCTTCTCTATTTGACAGCGTACTGTAGATAATTCCGGGGACATGAATGAAGTTCGCTTCTCGTGAGGTTAACCTTTCGCTTAGTATTCAGTTTTTCACTGAATGAAGGGGCTTGACACAGACGCAGAAAAGGTCGCGATCGCTGCCCGCGCGACCTTCGCTCGTCACGTTCCGCAGATAAGCCGTTAAAGGGATATACGTATATTCTCGACAGAATTGAAAAATCAGTTTCTAAATCACGAACCAGCTGCTGCGTGTGCGATGTGTGTGTTGAGTGAGATATTACTTATTAAAAATAATTTCATCAAAAATTAAAATTTTTGCAAATTTATGATAATTTTAAATTTTATGCTTCACTGTGATCAGGTTACATTTCGCTCGAAAAAACGGATAATTCCTAAGGATTTTTAACGGTTATATAATAATACTAAATTTGTCAATCCACTTCGTCTACAAAAAAAAATCTATTGTAAAATGCTATCTTCGGAAAAAGATGTTATTAACGAATTTCATCACTCGCAAGGTTTATTGCATACTTTACATCTCCGTATTAAGATTAGCTGGCGATCTTGAGGATTAGAATAATTTGTTTTTCGTCTCATCCTTGAACTATAAATTTCATAATTTCGTGGTGAGATCGTGTTTCAGTAAATTTCATGAGTTTCTAAGAATTTGATTTCCATTAACACATCCACGATGAACGTAGACGTCTTGTATCTCCTTAATTGCATCTTTGAGGAGCATAAAAGTTTGAGGATGCGGTATTAATCCTTGGACGCATTAATTCTTACTCTCATAAATCAATTTATATAAAAAATAGAATAAAATAAAAACAAAAGAAATTTGTGTATGCATTACAAAATTATTTGAAGAATACAAATTGTTAAATACAAATTATTAAAAGAATATAAATAGAAGTAGAGAAATTGACCTTTATATCGAATACATATTAAACAATTACCATGTATTTAAATTTACATTTAAATAGTTTTATATA